TCTCTGTCGTCTGCTCACACTGCTGACGGCTTCCGCTTTTTAACCTAGGCCTGTGTATGGCTTCCGAATACTGCTGCCTCCACCGCCACCCTGCGCCATGTGCCACTTTCAGGTCTCCTTACACTGTTGGTGGGTTCCATTTTGTGATAGGGTGCTGTATGGCCTTCCATTGCTGCTGCTTCCACCGCCACCCTGCGCCATGTGCCTCTGTCGTCTGCTCACGCTGCTGACGGCTTCCGCTTTTTAACCGAGGCCTGTGTTTGGCTTCCGAATACTGCTGCATCCACCGCCACCCTGCCGCCATGTGTCTCTGTCGTCTGCTCACACTGCTGACGGCTTCCGCTTTTTAACCTAGGCCTGTGTATGGCCTTCAATTGAAGCTGCTTCTGCTCCGCCACTCTGCCATTGGACTCTTGATAGTCGTCTCCCCACGCTGCTGCTGGGGGGACTTTTTAACATAGGCCTCTGTATGGCCTTCAATTTTAGCTGCTTACGCTCCGCCACTCTGCCATGGTCCCCTGTACCGCCTCCTCATGCTGCTGCCAGGCCCGTAATCTGCCATGGGCCCCCGTACCGACTCCTCATGCTGCTGCCAGGTCCAGAGTGTGTCATGGGTCCCTGTACGGCCTCCCATTGCTGCTGTCTCCATCGCCACACTCTGCCATGTGCCACTTTCAGGTCTCCTCACACTGCTGGTGGGTTCCATTTTGTCATAGGGTGCTGTATGGCCTCCCATTGCTGCTGCCTCCACCGCCACACTGTGGCTCCACACTCTGGTTTTGGCCCCGTGACTGCCCAAATGAGTGAAGTGTTCGGTGATTCTAAGATCGACGGCACTCATCTGCATGTCATACTGACTGACAGTATTATTTCTCTTCCCCAGCAGACTCCAAGGGCATTTAAATTAAAGGTACAGTGTTCTGCACTAATATAAAGGCTCTCTGAAGCCTAGAACACCCTTTTTATAAGTTAAATTCGCAGCGAATATATTCGGCTCGAAGCGAATTTTTTCCGCGAATTCGGCGAATCAGCCGAACCGAATTTTTGAATAATTCGCTCATCTCTAATTCTAACCAATAGTAAAATCACAGCAGATAATTACTACTGATTGGCATAGAAATGAACCAATGACATTCAGAGAGGAGTGTTTTACACCAAGGTGAATTATAAAACAATTTAGCAGGGGACAGGAAAACGTCTATTTTAATCCCATACATCCAAAACAAATTAGATGATCAAAGTTGGAAGAATATGTATCTCCAATATATAAGAAAGAGAGGAGTAATATGTAGGGATGTATAGGATAAGACACACACAGTAATAGTAACAAATTGTATGAAAAACTTGAAGCAATATGTGTAAATTGTATTAAAGAAACTTATGTAACTATAAATTTGCAAAAATTCTCAAAAAAAATGCTCAAAAAAAAAAATTATATAAATAAAATGTAAATATTTTTATTTAGATCAATTAAATTAATTTAGATGATATGTATATCAACTACGGATCCAAGAAGACCTGCAGGCTACATTCATTATTGAGACCCGAAGGTGTCATAGATCCTAGTTTAAAAATCCACTCCTTCTCTTTACGGAGTAGAATAGTGTCAAAGTCACCCCGTCTAGGGGGAAGTTTCAGAGCATATATGACCTTAGCACGTAAGCCCTTCGGAGAAGATTGATGTTTTTGTGCAAAGTGCTCTGCTACTGGGGTACGATCGATGTTATTTAAAATACTACCAATATGTTCCCCAATACGCACTCTAAATGGACATTTTGTCTTCCCCACATAAATTATGTTGCAAGGATATGATAGCATGTAGATAACCCGTGTCGTTGCACAGTTAGCAAAGTGTTTGATATGGAAGGATTTGGTACCATGCGCATCCCGGAATGTATTCGTGCGGTCCACAAATTTACAAATGGAACAGTGGCCACACGGGTACATTCCCTTCAAAGGCGGCAAAGACGTGAGCCAAGTTCTAGAGATAGGCCGTGTAAACTCTGAATGTACAAGGTTATCCCTTAAGTTTGTAGCCCGCTTGGCCACCAACAGAGGTCGAGGCCCTACTATTGAGGATAACTCAGGTGTCTGGGTAAGTATGTGCCAGTGTTTTGTGAGTATTGCACGTACTGTATTGCATTGTGTACCGAACCTAGTGATTATCCGTGTCGGGGCTGGTTCCTGTGTTGTAGGTAAACAATCAGATGTAATTAATAATTCCTCCCGTTTATGTTTGGATGCTTTGGACCGAGATTTCCTAAGATTGCCATGGGAATAGTCTTCTTGGTCAGTACAATTGCGCCGAAGTCGAAGGAATTGGCCCGTGGGTATGCCCTGGATGAGAGATTTAGGATGATGGCTTGTCGCCATTAGGAGAGTGTTCGCCGCCATTTCCTTACAGAAAGTTTTCATAAATACCCGGCCTGCCTTACTGAAATTGACAGATCCAGAAAGGAAATTTGATGTTCGTCAAAAACGTATGTAAGTTTGATATTTCTATTATTATGATTCAATTCAGCCAGAAATAGGTGGAGATCAGACACATCACATGTCCAAAGCATCAGCACATCATCAATATAGCGTACCCACATAGACGCATGACTAAGATATAATTTGGACTGGTAGACAACCTGTTCCTCCCACCAGCCCAAATGCAAACATGCATATGCGGGAGCCCATGGTGTTCCCATGGAAGTACCTCGCACCTGATGATAGGAGGTACCCATAAATTGAAAAAAATTAAAATGTAAAGCCAGATCCAAAAGTTCAATTAGAAATTCATTCTGAGCACCCATTTGGGGATATAGTTGATCTAGGAAATATGAGACTGCCTTAATACCCCAACTGTGTGGAATTGATGTATATAATGATTCTACATCTATGTTTACTAATAATGTATTAGGGGGTACTGAAATTTGAGATGTTTTAAATAGGACATCACGAGTATCCTGCACATATGAGGGGAGCTTAAATACCATTTCCTTAATTAAGGCATCCAGATATTTGCCTATACGTTCCATTGGGCTCCCAATGGCTGAAATAATTGGACGTCCAGGGGGATCCAGCAGTTTTTTATGAACTTTTGGGATTATGTAAATAATAGGGATGTTATATTCCTCTACTTGGAGGTACTTGCATTCGTGATTGGATATTAACCCTGCCTCACAGGCAAAGGACAGTTTCCTATTTATTAAATCTACCAATCCAAAAGTTGTCGTCGAATTTCACATTCATAGCTGCTAGCTGTCATCAGAACTATATTGCCTCCTTTATCACTTGGCTTAATAACCAAGTCTGGGGCATTTTTGAGTTCATAAAGGGCATGACGCTTATCCTTATGCCAATTGATACTGCTCTGTCTACAGCTAGAGTAATAGTAAGTGAGAGTAAGGTAGCAACAGCCTGTGCTATTTTCTCATATTGATCTGCTGGGAAAGAAGTGTCAGGATGAGCTGAGACTGCTGCAGTCTGTGTCTCTGTCATACCTGTTTCCATGCCGTTGGCCATCTTGGCTGCAGGAGGGGGAGAGCTGCACACCTCGGGCCATGGAGCTGGAACAGAGCTGGGGGGGGAGCCGGAAGCAACTACCGGTCCATGCTAAGGGGTTGCCTGGGTGCAGGGGGAGCACTCAGATGGCTTGTGGCGGGTGTCCCAGAAGCAAGATGCCGTAGTTATAGGCAGATGCGGCCGGAGCCGTGGGTCCCGCATCTGCTACGTGTGGTGCCGGAACCGGAAGTCTATATTTGACATTTATTTGGGGACAATTCTCTAAGCAATATCTTACCACATCCGAGTATGCAGTAAGATACTCCATAACATTTTTCCAAAAAAAGTTGGTATTCACTAAAATACCACATGAGTTCTTTTATTAAGTGTTTTAGGCCCTTCGGTCTGGTATGGATTTTCAGGGGAGACCCACGCCAAAATTTTAAAAAATGGCATGGGTCCCCCCCAAAATCCATACCGACCCTTATCTGTGCATGCAGGCCAGGGGGTCAGGAAAGGGAGGGATAAGCAAGTGCCCCACCCCAACCCTTACTAGGCCACATGTCCTCAACATGGGGGGTGCTTTGGGGTGGGGGGGCTCCCACCTAAAGCACCTTTTCCCCATGTTGATGGGGAGAGGGGCCTCCTCCCCACAACCCTGGTCTGTGGTTGTGGAGGTCTGTGGGAAGGGGGTTATCAGAATCTGGAAGCCCCTTTTATCGGATCTCACCCCCTTTATGTTAATGAGAATGGGGTACATGGTAACGCTAATCATTCGCAAAAAAAGTGTGTAGTGTAAAAAATTACAGTATACAGTCTTTGATAAGTCCTTTATTAAAACAACAAAAATTTTTTAAAACGTCCCCTGAAGTAGATCCAACGTCAATTGTGATGCCTGCTGCCACAAAAAGGCTCCGTTCTCGATGCTGGCTCCTGCCGTCTGACAGCTCTGCTGGCCTGACAGTTCTTAAATATCTAAGGGGCGGGGGCACTCGGTGACATCACCCGCGTGACTCCACCTCATAGTTACATAGTTAGTCTGGCTGAAAAAAAACAAAAGTCCATCCAGTTCAACCATTACAAAAAAAAACAAATTATAATCCTACATCCACAGTTGATCCAGAGAAAGACAAAAAAAAAACCAGCAAAGCATGATCCAATTTGCTCCTGCATGGCAAAAAATTCCTTCTTGTGACATCATTGACCCAGCATGCCCTGGCGATGTCCCCAGGTGAACTGTCCCCTGGGTTCGAATTACGCGGTCAAACTTTTGTTAGGTTCGAAAGTTTGACCGTGAACCAAACAGGGGGGTGTTCTGCCCATCACTATTAAAGATATTTTTGTTTCAGTGATGTGGGCAATCAGCTCACATACTGTACCTTGTGCCATAAAGGGGCTATTAATGAACAATCCCACCAGATGTGCATGATATTTCCTTGGGCCTGGTTACACCTCCAACACAGATCTGACTACATTGGCTACCAAACTTTTTTTGCTGTAAAACTACCAAAAAGTTTTGCTGGGGTAGCATACCAATGCATCAATACTTTATAGGAGGTTTCTTGTAACCTCATGCTTATGGAGCATTTGTGAGCAAAAACACAAGCCTGCCCTCATTGTTGATTAGTAAAACGAGCAATGTGGTCTTATCCACAGGTTCCCCCTTCAGACATTGTGACTCAAAAAGAGCTAATGGTCTAAAAATGTTCATTTTCTAGTGGAGGTAAAAACATAGTTATGCAATTGGCAATAAGTCCAAAAAGAAAAAAAAGGAATGTGGTCCGATGAGGGGTGAGGAAAAATCACATTCCTTAATTTGTTAAACACTTGAATTGATGCTCCTAACAAAGGATGTTGTTGAGTATAGAGTTGGCATTTTTCCTAGGGTGGCCACAGTAGAAACCACAGAGGGGAGGTTATTACAATCCCCGCTAATCAAAACCCAGTCTGTATAATTTTTGCATGACTATTCCAATCTAAAATTCTCGCTAAATGGGTAACATGGCAGTAATGTTTAAAAAAAGTTAGGCCTAACCCACCTCTATTTTTTTGTTTTGGTGAGATGATTCAAGCTGATACAGGGTTTCTTACCTGCACAGATAAAAATTGCAAAGTATTGCATACAGGTGTTTAAAGAAACCAGATAGGAGCTCAATAGGCAAGCAGTGAAAATAATAAAATACTTTAGGCAGGATTGCCATCTTTAGAATTGCAGCTCTTCCAA